CGCATCCACCCGCAGCACCGAGAGCGCCGCCTGAACCCACACTCTCCCCAAAGAATAACAACAACGATAAAAAAATCCCAGCCTCTACTCACCCACCGATCCGGCTCCGGCGCGCTCGCGCTCGTAATCGCGCGCAGCTCGTTCCGTATGATGTTGTGCGTAAAGTGGTCGAGGTTCAGGTCGTTCTTGTCGTAGCCGAAGGGGTCTAGATGCGGGGATGGGTTAGCCGCGTTGAGATGGAAAAGGAAGGGAGAGAGGGAAAAGAGAGGAGGATGCGAGTTGGAGGCTAGCTCGCGATAGACGGAGGGCCTCTATATATAGCAGTTGCTACTTGGGTCGGTTGGTGGATTGGTCCACCGAACAAATGTACTCCTGATTCGGGGGGCGCACCATTCGTGCGCCCGACCTCCAGCTTAGCGACATCGAGTAAACCCCCCGCTTGCACCCGCTCGCGCCGCACAGAACCTCCCCGACCGCGGCGACGAAAAAGAAAAACAATATACGCACTCTCAATCTCCTCCCCCGCAACCAAAAACCCAAAAAAGATAAACGTGAGCAGGATCGTCGCGGGGATCGTCGCCCAGCCCATGGTGAGGATGATTTGGCTTGGCTGGAAAAAACGACGGGATGAATTAGTTGAAGGGTGTTTTCAAAATAGGGTGAAATGAGAGAGGGGGTCAAGGCATGGAGCGCCAGGAAAACATCGACATCTCGAGATACACCGGCGAACGCCAGACAACCCGGGTCCAGCGCATCACGGACGCCGAGGTACGCAGCGGAGACCAGGGTAAAGACCGCGCGCGTTCTCACCCGGGACGCAAGCAAGATCCACATCGCTACCGTCCGCGAGCCCACGCCGGAATAGCACTCGCATCGGCAGCGGCTCAAAGGAGCGGCAGCGGAGGTAGGGGAGCAGCGGCAGCGGCAGTGGCAGCGGAAGCGGAGGTAAGGACCTGCTCCGAGGCGGACCATCCACCGAGCGCATCGGCAACGTCGCGCATACAGCCATCGTTCGTGGAGAGCAGGGCAGATTTGGGCCGCGAGATCAAGTGGCATCGACATCGAGATCGACATCGACATCGCCCAACCCAACAACGCCCCCAAGCCGTGCACGAGCCCGTCGTCCGCAGACCAAGACCCAGTCTGCACCCCATTAGCACCTAGCGCGGCGCAGTCGGCGTCGAAAGCGCAGGTCGGAGAGTCCCAGCCCCGCAAGGGCCTGCAAAACAAGGAAAACGCAAAAACGCGAAACGCGAAACGCAAACGCACCAGCGCGAGACAGTATATCGTGGTCACGACCCACAGGTGGATGGAGTACCTGTGTGGTGGGATCAGGTCAGTGCTCGTGCTCGTGCTCGTGCTCACTGTGTAATACGAAAAATAAAACAAAACAAATAGGAAGGGAGGGAGGGAGGATGTACCGCAAGTAGGGGACGGAAGTGGGGGGGAAGGAAGTATGGTCAAGGAAAGAAAGCGGAAGCGGGGGGTGCGCTCGAAAATAAAAGAATTTGAAACGCATAACGGAAAGAACGAAAGAAAGACCGAAAGAAAAAACGAAAGAAAAAACGAAAGAACGAAAGCAAGGAAAGCAAGGAAACAGAGACGCACGAGAACGGAATCGGCGTAGTCAGGATCCGCTCGAGCCCCGTCAGGGCGTCGACGAGGTTGTTGAGCGAGGCCAGGAGCGTGTCTATACCGCACCACGCAGATCAGCTTTCCTTCGTCAAAGCCGAGGGCGGGAAAGGACGCGGACGCACTCGTGGTCGGCACATCCGTCTGCTTCCGGTGCTGCAGCGCCGCGATGTACGAGCTCTACCCCCAAAGAAAAAGAAAAGAAGAAAAAAGAATGTAATAATTAACACCAATTCCAATCTCCAGCCAAACGAGCACACCCACCAGATACAAACTAACCTCCAACGGGAGATTATGGCTCCCGCCTCCGCTGCCGGCACTGAGCTTCGCGCGGACGCGGGCGGCCTTCTTGCCCTTGACCTCGCGGCCGCGCTTGGTGAGGCAGCGCACGAGGAGGGAGAAGGGGAAGAGGTCGAAGAGGTGGTATTTCGGCGGGAGCGAACCCGGGAGGAGGAACGCCTCGTCCGCGCGCGCCAGGATGATCTGTCCGCGCATTCATAAACCCACAGCTCTCTCTTCGGCAGGCAGGCAGGAAGGAAACCGCACACACACCTTTTGCGGCTCGCCCGGATGCGGGGACCGGATCGAGCGTATCGACTTGCTGCTGCGCAGGTCAGAGCTGACCTTGCGCGCGCCGAGCAGGGGCGGGGGCGAGAGCGGCAGGATCGGGTTCTTCTCGTCCGTCGGCGAATTGAGGCGCGTGGGCGGCGAGATCGTGAGCGGGGGCGGGGTCGGCCGGCCCCCCTCCCGGGCCTCCCTCTCCTTCTCCGCGCGCTCGGGGATGCCCGGGATCTTGGCCGCGAAGCTCGTGCGTCTGTCGCGCCCCTCTTTCGCAGGCGAGGAGGCGGTGACGGGGAGGGGGAGGTGCGGCGCGGACATGGACGAGGGCGGGGAGCGCTGGTACAGGAAGGAGCCGGGCTGGTTGGGGAGCGAGGGGCGGAAGCCGTGCGAGGCGTCGGAGAAGGTCGGCGAGCGCCCCGTGCCGGTGGCGTCCGCCCCGTTGGTGAAGTCCGCGTTGGAGGGGATGCCCGCGGGGAGGGCGTATGCGGGGAGAAATTTCACCAGGTAGTACAGGTCCTGGTAGTAGATCCCGTCCTCGCCGCGCAGGTAGTGCTTGACCGCGACGCCAAACGCCTCGAGCAGGTTGATGACCGTCTTCTTCTCGATCATCGAGCGCGCCTTCATCGTTTCTGCGTCGTTTCCCTTCGTCGGCGGTAGATCTGGCGTACGCGTATGTATTAGCATTCTGCCGTTGTGAAAAAATGAGACGGACGGACCTGGAACATGGAACCACACCGTGCGCGCAAAAGTGCGGCTGGCAAGAATAATCTGGGACCATAGCTTTCTCCCTTCGTTATAGCGCTCAAAAGACGAGGTTGTGCGATAGGACACGACGAAACCGAGCACGGTACCGATGCTAAACGTAAAAAAGTTGGATTCTGATTAGCTTGCGTGCGGTTTGGCGCGATAAAGGTTTGCGGCACGCACACAGTGAGCAACGTCGACGCCAGTCGAACCTTGAACTTGTGGTGGTCGAGGACGGCGATAACAGTGGACCACGCCGCGAAGAACATGAGAATGTGCCAGCATCGGAAGAGCGCGGTGGCAAGCAGAGCGTTGACGAAAGAGGCGCCGGGACGTCGACGGGGTGCGAATCTACATGGCAGGGCAATGGCAGGGGTTACATTTACGAGTTGTGGGCGCAAGATAAGACGCACGGATCGGGAGCGGCGGCGAATCCGTGGTGGGTCTGTGTCCCTGACCGCTGCAGCGTCGAGCCTTCAGTAAATGCATCGTCCGTGGAGGTCAACACTTACACGGGGAGACATTGGGTTCATGGTACTCGTTGAACAACGACAAGACTCCTTTTTCGCCAATCGACCCTGCAAATCAATGATCGTTTGTTGCAACGCCGAGCCGTCTTCGCCAAGTCGACCTCGCTAGTCATCGCCAGTCATTTCGCGCGGCGCTGAATGCCCGCATTCAATTCTGAATTTGAGGACGACTGGGGTCGGGAGACGCGATCACATGACGGCGGCGCGACGCGTCGACCTGCAGGCGAATTGATCGCAGGGGTGTTGGAGAGCGGAGAAATCCCACTGCGCGCGCTTTTATACCATGACTGACGGAATACGTATCTTGGCTTGCCCGACGGAATACTCCGGTCAACGCGCGACGTCGACGGGAATCCAATCCAACTTTGTTTTCTCTCACCATGAGCGAGTGGTGGGAAGCGTACCTGAATACAATCGGCGTTCAAAAACGCGTCAGGACACGCGTGTGGAGGCGACGTGCGATAACTTATTTGCAGCACGGTCGTTACGGTCGAAGACAAGAGGCAAAAGACGGGGGACGTGATTCTTCTTGGCTTTCACGGCGTCGAGCACATTAGTTAGATTATCCTTCACTTTCACAGAGGTAACAGTGTACATGTGCCACATTGCAGTTTGTAATGTTTTACCAAAAAAAGTGTACACACTATCTCCATAGCTCGGGCCTGATTCGAACCGGCTGTCTCCTGCTTGGAAAGCATCTCATTGCCGCACAGAACACAGGGATGGACCATCCACCACTGAGCCTTCACCAGCTCTAGTTCAAGGTCGATACATGCACCATTTTTGGCATTCCTTCCAAAAGAAATATCGCCTTTCAAGAACGGCATAGGCTCGGGCCTGATTCGAACAGGCTTCTCCTGCTCAAGTTATTTGGCAGTCTAGTACAGAAGACAGGAATCGACCATCCACCACCGAGCCTTTCCTACCTCTCATTCAAGGTCAATATGTGCAGCATTTTTGGCATTCCTTCCAAAAGAAAAGTGGATCTTGAAGACTGTCATATGGCTCGGGCCTGATTCGAACAGGCTTCTCCTACTCAAGTCAATTGGAAACTGGAAACAGAAGACAGGAATGGACCATCCACCACCGAGCCTTTTCCAATTCTGATTCAGGGTCAATACTGTACATGCAACCTTTTCTCCACCTGATTTTTTCTATATAAAAAAAGGCATTGAGACAGTTCAGACTCATGGCTTGGGCCTGATTCGAACAGGCTTCTCCTACTCAAGTCTATTGGCAACTGGATACAGAAGACAGATGTGGACCATCCACCACCGAGCCTTTCCTACCTCTGACTTGAGGTCAATACGTGCACCATTTTCGGCATTCCTTCCAAAAGAAATATCGCCTTTCAAGAATGGCATAGGCTCAGGCCTGATTCGAACAGGCTTCTCCTGCTCAAGTTACTTGGCAGCGTAGTACAGAGGACAGGAATGGACCATCCACCACCAAGCCTTTCCTACCTCTAATTCAAGGCTGATACGTGCAGCATTTTCAGCATTCCTTCCAAAAGAAAATCTAAAGACCACACTATGGCTCGGGCCTGATTTGAACAGGCTTCTCTGCTTACAGTCATGTTCCTCTACGGGAGACAGATGTGGACCATCCACCACCGAGCCTTTCCTACCTCTAATTGAAGGTCAATATGTGCAGCATTTTCGGCATTCCTTCCAAAAGAAAATATGGCATTCAAAATATGGCAGGGCTCGGGCCTGATTCAAACAGGCTTCTCCTACTCAAGTCTATTGGCAACTGGATACAGAAGACAGATGTGGACCATCCACCACCAAGCCATTCCTACCTCTAATTCAAGGTCAATATGTGCAGGATTTTTTGTACTCCTTCCAAAAGAAATATGGCCTCTCGAGATTGGTGTATGGCTCGGACCCGAGTCGAACAGGCTTCTCTGCTTGCAGTCATGTTCCACATAGGAGACAGATGTGGACCATCCACCACCGAGCCTTTCCTACCTCTAATTCAAGGCTGATACATGCAGCATTTTCGGCATTCCTTCCAAAAGAAAATATGGCATTCAAAGAACGGGAGGGCTCGGGCCTGATTCGAACAGGCTTCTCCTGCTCAAGTCAGCTGGCAACCTGGTACAGAAGACAGGAATGGACCATCCACCACCGAGCCTTTCCTAACTCTCATTAAATTCAAGGCTGACATATCCAGCATTCTCTTAGAACTGGTGCAATAAAAAGGTTTATGCTGTGGACACAATATGGCTCGGGCATGATTCGAACAGGCTTCTCCTGCTCAAGTGGATTGGCAACCTGTTACAGAAGACAGGTGTGGACCATCCACCACAGAGCCTTGCCTACCTTTAAATCAATGTCGATACGTGCAGCATTTTCGGCATTCCGTCCAAAAAAAAAAGTGGATCTTGAAGACTGGTATATGGCTCGGGCCTGATTCGAACAGGCTTCTCCTGCTCAAGTCGGATGGCAACTGGGTACAGAAGACAGGGATGGACCATCCACCACCAAGCCTTTCCTACCTCTGATTCAAGGTCGATACATGCACCATTTTCGGCATTCCTTCCAAGAAAAACATCTCGAGACCGCCTGCACAGCTCGGGCCTGATTTGAACAGACTTCTCCTGCTGAAGTCAGCTGGCAACCTGGTACAGAAGACAGGGATGGACCATCCACCACCAAGCCTTTCCTACCTCTGATTCAAGGTCGATACATGCACCATTTTCGGCATTCCTTCCAAGAAAAACATCTCGAGACCGCCTGCACAGCTCGGGCCTGATTTGAACAGACTTCTCCTGCTGAAGTCAGCTGGCAACCTGGTACAGAAGACACCAAGCCTTTCCTACCTCTGATTCAAGGTCGATACATGCACCATTTTCGGCATTCCTTCCAAGAAAAACATCTCGAGACCGCCTGCACAGCTCGGGCCTGATTTGAACAGACTTCTCCTGCTGAAGTCAGCTGGCAACCTGGTACAGAAGACAGGGATGGACCATCCACCACCAAGCCTTTCCTACCTCTGATTCAAGGCTGATATATGCAGCATTCTCTTGCGACTGGTGCAATAAAAAGGTTGATGCCGCATCCAAGGTGTATGGCTCGGGCCTGATTCGAACAGGCTTCTCAAGCTCAAGTTGATTGGAAACTGGAAACAGAAGACAGGAATGGACTATCCACCACCGAGGCTTTCCTACCTCTGATTCAAGGGCGATATATGCAGCATTCTCTTAGAACTGGTTCAATAAAAGGTTGATGCCATTTGCACATCTCATGGCTCGGGCCTGATTCGAACAGGCTTCTCCTGCTCAAGTCAGTCGGCAACTGTGTACAGAAGACAGGTGTGGACCATCCAAGACCGAGCCCTTCATACCTCTGATTCAAGGTCAATAGATCCAGCATTTTCCGCATTCCTTCCAAAACAAAATATGGCATCTGAAGAACGATAGGGCTCGGGCCTGATTCGAACAGGCTTCTCCTGCTCAAGTTGGTTGGCAACCTGGTACAGAAGACAGGGATGGACCATCCACCACCGAGACTTTCCTACCCCTAATTCAAGGCTGATATACGCAGCATTCTCTTGCGACTGGTGCAATAAAAAGGTTGATACTGTGCGAAAACTGCATGGCTCGGGCCTGGTTCGAACAGGCTTCTCCTGCTCAAGTTGGTTGGCAATGGGGTGCAGAAGACAGGAATGAACCATCCACCACCGAGTCTTTCCTACCTCTAATTCAAGGCTGATATATGCAGCATTTTCTGTATTTCTTCAAAAAAAATCGACCGAGCACCATCACTAAGGCTCGGACCTGATTCGAACAGGCTTCTCCTGCTCAAGTCAATTGGCAACTGGGTGCAGAAGATAGGTGTGTACCATCCACCACCAAGCCTTTCCTACCTCTAATTCAGGGCTGATATATGCAGCATTTTTTGTATTCCTTCCAAAAGAAATATGGCCTCTCGAGATCGGCATATGGCTCGGGCCTGATTCGAACAGGCTTCTCCTGCTCAAGTCGATTGGCAACTCGTTACAGAAGACAGGTGTGGACCATCCACCACCGAGTCTTTCCTACCTCTAATTAAATTCAAGGCTGACATACTATCAATGACTAGGATCCTGGCCACACTGGGATCCTGGCCATTAGTCAGATACAGGATTCTGGGGTGTGTAATATGTCCACTACACATTTTCACGATGGAATATGACCCATTGCGCATCCTGAGACCAAATTCCAACCCAAAGTGATAGGTTGATCCAAAGCTGTGCCCACATTGATCGCGATCCGGAGGGTGAGAATATCAATTTGATAACCCCGTGCGACTGTCTCCCTTATTTCTCGACCAATACGCGGTGGATCCAGAACTTTGGGGGCTCAGTTTTCTGCGAGAACCTGGGGCTTCCCTCTCGGGATGCACCACCCAGCAGAAGACTTGCCCTTTGTGCTCAAATTCACCAACACAATTGGAACAGAAACCCGCCGATCAAACTTTCAAATTCAAGATACCGTAATACCCTTGGACACTATGGTTCCAACGCCTTCGCATATCCATCCTGGTAGGTACGGCATTCATATCATCCATACTGCGCTCCTTGAACGCTTTCCCCTCCGTCCGAATGTGAGTACAGATAGAGAACCACCCAGTTGACGCAGGAAAAAAGATTAAACATCGGGTTCTCAACAGTACACCTTGAAAGTAGAGATATGCATTCAGGTGGGTCCATTGGGTTCCAATAAACCTCCCTGTCACTTATTTTGGCCTACAATGTGTTACCACTGATGCACCAACCCGATTTAGGTGACAGTATAGATCCCGCCGCCGAGGGCTTTTATAAAATGTCTCCGCTACTCCACTTTTGTGAAGCCCAATGTATGATATAAGTGCTTAAAATACATTATATGAATCCCATATGCACTATGGTAAGCGGTGTGGGCCCTCATTTGCCTCCAAAAATGGGATTTCAAGGGTGGCCAGGATCCCTGTCAATTACCTGTTCGGGAAATCCTTGGAAATTAAATTCATCGAGCACTCAAAACGGCACCAAAATTATCACAAATATGCTCAATCTCTTCGCAGGATGTGCACCTATTGACTAGGGCTCACAAACCTGGGAAAGGCCCCGCTGTAAGATCGAGATTGGGCCCAAACCCCTTAGGTGGCTAGGATCCCAGCGCGATATAGTATCCAGCATTCTTGTTACTGGTTCAATAAAAAGGTTGATCATTCAAACCCTCTACAACATGGCCCAGGCCTGGTTCGAACAGGCTACTCCTGCTCAAGTCGGTTGGCAACCTAGTACAGAAGACAGGAATGGACCATCCACCACCAAGCCTTTCCTACCTCTAATTCAAGGCCGATACGTGCACCATTTTCTGTGCCCTTCCAAAAGAAAAGTGACTCTTGAAGACTGCCGTATGGCTCGGGCCTGATTTGAACAGACTTCTCCTGCTCAAGTCGGTTGGCAACTGGGTGGAGAAGACTGGTTCAATAAAAAGGTTGATGCCGTGTGAACACTATATGGCTCGGGCCTGATTCGAACAGGCTTCTCCTGCTCAAGTTGATGGGCAACTAGATACAGAAGACAGGTATGGACCATCCACCACCAAGCCTTTTCTGCCTCTAATTCAAGGTCAATACAGGCAGCATTCTCTTGTGACTGGTTCAATAAAAAGGTTGATGCCGCATCCAAGGTGTATGGCTTGGGCCTGATTCAAACAGACTTCTCCTGCTCAAGTTGATTGGCAACTAGGTACAGAAGACAGGTGTGGACCATCCACCACTGAGCCTTTTCCAATTCCGATTCAGGATCAATACTGTACATGCAACCTTTTCTCCACCTGATTTTTTCTATTTAAAAAAAGGCATTAAGACAGTGCAGACTCATGACTCGGGCCTGGTTCGAACAGACTTCCCCTGCTGTATTGGTCAGTCACTGCATACAGAACACAAAAGTGGACCATCCACCTTTCCTACCTCTAATTCAAGACTGATTTATGCAGCACTCTCTTGTTCAATAAAAAGATTGCTCAACTCGACACTCCATGGCTCGGGCCTGATTCGAACAGGCTTCCCCTGCTCAAGTCGGTTGGCAACTGGGTACAGAAGACAGGGATGGACCATCCACCACCGAGCCCTTCATACCTCTAATTCAAGGCTGATACGTGCACCATCTTTTGTATTCCTTCCAAAAGGAAAATTTCGAAAGACCGCCCCATGGCTCGGGCCTGATTCGAACAGGCTTCTCCTGCTCAAGTCATTTGGCAACCCAGTACAGAAGACAGGGATGGACCATCCACCACCGAGCCTCTTCCAATTTCAATTCAGGGTCAATACTGTACATGCAACCTTTTCTCCCCCTGTTTTTTTCTATAAAAAAAAGGTACTGAGACAGTGCAGACTCATGACTCAGGCCTGATTCGAACAGGCTTCTCCTGCTCAAGTCGATTGGCAACTGGGTACAGAAGGCAAGGATGACCACCCACCACCGAGCCTGTCCTACCTCTAATTCAAGGCTGATATATATGCAGCATTCTCTTGCAACTGGTTCAATAAAAAGGTTGGTCACCAAAGTACTTTGCGACATGGCCCAGGCCTGGTTCGAACAGGCTTCTCCTGCTCAAGTTGGATGGCAACTGGGTAGAGAAGACAGGTGTGGACCATCCCGCACCGAGCCTTTCCTACCTCTAGTTCAAGGTCAATACGTGCAGCATTCTCTTGCGACTGGTACAATAAAAAGGTTGACACTGTGCAAAAACTGCATGGCTCGGGCCTGATTCGAACAGGCTTCTCCGGCTCAAGTCGATTGGCAACCAGATACAGAAGACAGATGTGGACCATCCACCACCGAGCCTTTCCTACCTCTAATTCAAGGCTGAAATATGCAGCATTCTCTTAGAACTGGTTCAATAAAAAGGTTGATGCCACATGCAGGGTGGATGGCTCAGGCCTGATTCGAACAGACCTCCTCTGGTTGGGAAAATCAAACTTCGTGGCATACAAGTGTGGACCATCCACCGCCGAGCCTTTCCTACCTCTAATTCAAGGCTGATATATGCAGCATTTCCTATATTCCTTGCAAAAGAAAGATGGGTTCTAAAGCCGGCAGTATGGCTCGGGCCTGATTCGAACAAGCTTCTCCTACTCAAGTCATTTGGCAGCCTAGTACAGAAGACAGGAATGGACCATCCACCACTGAGGCTTTCCTACCTCTAATTCAAGGTCGATACACGCAGCATTTTTCGTATTTCTTCAAAAATATTCGACCGAGCGTCACCATTAAGGCTCAGACCTGATTCGAACAGGCCTCTTCTGTTTGGGAAAATCAAACTCCGCAGCATACAGGTGTGGACCATCCACCACTGAGCCTTTCCTACCTTTAATTTAAGTTCGATGCATGCAACATCTTCACCCAATTTTTTCTACATAAAAAAGAGCATTGAGACAGTTCAGACTCATGACTCGGGCCTGGTTCGAACAGGCTTCTCCGGCTCAAGTCGGTTGGCAACTGGGTGCAGAAGACAGGGATGGACCATCCGCCACTGAGCCTTCCCTACCTCTGATTCAAGGTCAATACATGCACCATTTTCTATGGCATCCGAAGAACGTTGGGGCTTGGGCCTGATTCGAACAGGTTCCTCCTGCTTAGATCCCAGGCACAAATCACCTACAGAACACAGGTGTGGACCAACCACCACCGAGCCTTCTCCTGCTTGAATCACTGTCTAACTGTTACAGAACGCAGGTGTGGCCGACCGCCACTGAGCCTTATTTCCCGACAATTTGGATGAGGTCTGCAGCAGTAAACATTTTTTCAATAAGCCATACAAAAAAAAACGCGATGGATGACTTATGGCTTGGACCTGATTCGAACAGGTCTCTCCCGCTTGAGACGATGGAATTATACATCACATACCGGTGTGGACCATTCACTACCAAGCCTTTTCCTATCTCTATTCAAGGTCTACACGTGTGGCAGTTTCTGCGACTAGTCTGCTTCTCTCCTGTAAAGTTGAAACAAAACACAGGTGTGTACCATCCGACACTGAGCAGTCTCCGCCTCTGCTCGAAGTCGAACAGATGTAGCACCGGACGCAACCTTGCTTGGCATTGACAATGTCTTCCTCGTACTTACTCAAGACCGAAGTGAAGCTTGGATTTTCTCACGGTTCAAATAACGTTCAGATGCAAGTGGGCGCCGATGGTTCTCTAAATTGACTTGGACCTTGAACAAAAAATATCAGTCGTTCAACAATGAATGATAATTCTCATTCTCTCTCTGGCAAGATTCCAGCGATCGCGGACCCTAGATTTTCGGTATCTCGATGATTACATTGCGAACAATACAACAATGGATATACATGCCGTCCAAAATAAATACCGCCAGTTCAAGTGTGACCCGCGGAGAATCTGTCCATTGGATGCTGTTCTACTTCGCGGTGGGAAAATAGGGTCATCCCAGCGTCGAAAGTGCGAGGAAGATGATCCTGCATGAACGAAGAAAAATCTGCGAAGCCCACCCCCTGCATAGGGAACCAACGCAAGGAGAACTCGATTTGCCGCAGACTTGGCATCGGTGAGTTCGCGAATGCCGAGTCAAGGTCAACCCACGCCGCTGGGTTCCGATCTGTCCATCGTTGATACGAGCGGTTTGGGCGAACTAGTAGCGCGATGGTGATAACTTCGATGTTCGGCATGTGCGTGATTGACTCGATGACAATGGAATGTAGCATGTCTGGTGTCTCTGTCAGTTCGGTGTCGACCCAAATCACCAGGTGCTTCAAAACTGGGAGCGCGGGGAGGTTGTGCAGAGGGAGGTCTGAGAAAAGAGTTGAGCGTAATATATATTCCAGTGAACATGAACGCACCCAGCTCAAGTTCCAAATATTCCAGCGTCCATGCACATGAAACGAGCAGCTCCGTAAATCTGTGGATAAGAGTACCCGCGATTGGAGGGAATATAACAGAAAGCCGTTTGAGCCGGCATAGTGACCCAATTCGTCTAGGGTCAAGCGCAAAGGAGAGAATCTTGCCGTACGCGTCTCCAGCAATACCAAAGTTCCATAGGATTCCCGAATAGGTGAATGCTTCCGACGCCAGTTCGTCTTCGTGGGCAATGGACAGATAGGATAGCAACACCTGCTCACAAGCCGAGAGGGCCCGTGAGATCAAGGCCGCTGGAACACCATTCATATGCTCGAAGGCAAAGCATTTGAGGGTGGGTAGAGAGAGGAGGGTGATAAGGCAGGGATTTTCTGAAATCTGGTTGGCCGTCATGGAGTCCCCAACAATCGCGACACGCTCGACATCCAAGAAGTACCCCAGGATATTCCTCAACAGAGAAAAGTTCCTTGGTATCCCCGTGATATGGACTGCCAATGAACGCACATGTCGCCCCAGATGCGGAGAGAAGACTAGAAGCCGCGCAGCGCGTTGGTATGTAGGAAGGTCTGTAAGCGCCAGCTGTCGGAACAGGCGGCGCTGGCTGGGAGCGACGAACACGGTCGAAGTCAATGAGCACGCCATGAGACTCGAGTCCGAGACCTCGTCGACGATAGCATTGATCAGCTCTTGGGGTAGTTCTGGCATGGCGGTTCGAACAACAGCGTAGTTTTGCACAGCGTAGTTTTGCACAGCGTATTTTTGCACAGCGTAGTTTTGCACAGCTCGCAGAAGCAGTTTTGATGCCGGGCCGGTCCGTGTTGGATAAAACAAGTTCGCGGTTCAGTTGGAATCAAGGAGTTCCTAGGGATTTCTGCTTCGTTGAGAGAAACAGCGCGAGGTAAAGTTTGACATGGTTGTAACGTTTGACGGCGTAACTGCTGCGAGAACCAAGAAATCGAAACCAAAGTTGAGCACAGACTAAGTGCAGTCGAGGAAGTTCTCGAGCTGGTACAGAGTAATTCAACGATCGTCTGGTAAAAATCTCAGTAAATCAATTCAAATCTACACATTGCATGCTGTAAGCAGGGACGGTATGAGAACCGCATCAGTTCGGCGTCGAACGATCTAGGGAGATGAGCCTGAATGAACGAGGTAAAGGCCGCAAAGCGTTCGGGCTCGTGAGGGAACCAGCGCAGCGAAAACCCGACTTCACACAGGTTCCGCATGTCCATGAATGCGGAGTCAGGGTCAGTCCATGCTTCCGGTCTGACATCTGTCCACTGCTGGCGATTGGGACGATGAGGGACGATGAGGGTATTCGGGACGATCCAGAAACGCGAGGGTCAACACCTCGAGGTGGGGAGTGGAGGCGATGGTTGCTGCGATTATGGAATGCACTTCGGCAGGAGTCTTCGTGAGTTCGACGTCAAGCCAGAGCTCCAGGCGAGTCAACTGAGAGTGGGGATATACGTCGGCGTGGGCACCTCTTTAATATCGAGGGCCAAATAGCGAAAACATGGTCCGAGATGTGGAGATGAGGCCAGGAGTCGCGCGGCGCGCCTGTACGAGGCAATACTGGCGAGCAACATCCATTGGAAAAGACGGTGCTCAGGGCTGGAACGCGATCGCAGTCAGCGAGCAAGCTGCGAGGCTCTCAGTCGGGACCTCCTCGACGATGGCCTCGATGAGCTCCTGCGGTAAATGTGGTGGCATGGTGGTTTCCAAAACAATCACTTGCCTTGAAGCTTGATGGTGGAAATGATGGCGGGAACTGCCGCGATTAAACAACGATTAAAAGTTGAAACTGAAAAAAGCACTGCACATCAGAGCGCTTGGCTAAAATTCAGTGCTTATATGACAGGCTAGAGAAGTAGCGTATCGGCCTTGAGAGATTTGAATCTTCACTGTGGGGGTGTTTTGAAGAATCAAAGTCGAAGTCGGAGGACCTCGTGAAAGCGCACTGTTGGCACAAGATGAGATATCACCTGAACGTGTCCACGTACGGTGAGTTCATCAAAGTGTCTGAACCTGGGAATCAACGGACGGCTGTTGCTGGCTGCCGCCCAAAATATCCAGTCAATCTTTAATACCTTGGCCGACAAAATTTGAACTGAGCTTGCTCAGCTCTCGAATGTTGAACTTGCAGATGAATGAAATCGTTAAACTGACGCGCGAGCTCTGGCTGTATGTCAACGAGATGGTAATTCCAAGATAGATATTTATAAGCACTGTTCTGCGCAGGGACATCGTCAAGAGATGGGAGGCCCTCTGAATCAACCGGCCGTCGCAAATCGGTCAATTTGAATCACGGCCGGACACGCGAAAACCGTGTCATTCCCGCATTGAAAGTACGAGGAAGATTTGCCTGCATGAATGCGATAAATCCAGAGAATCGTTTTGGCTCCTCGCCATAGGCCCGCAAGCA